ATCCTTTGTCAGTAGTGCTAGCACCTAATAATGAACTTACCACTCACTGATCATGCTCACAAAGCACTTTTTTCTGGGATCATACATTATAAAGTGTTTGCTTATCAATTAAGCCTCTTTGCTTATCTACCGGATCACAAGAATTATACCCAGTGAGACTTATCTTTAAAAATATGTAATTATCCTTGAGGGCCTGGTAATAAGCCTTCACCTACAACAAACTAGTCAAATATAGCCAGAAAGACAACTTGTAATACTCAGAAAAATCTTTATGCTTACTAATTGAAAGACCTTTTTCTGGTCACAGCAATTACGTGGAAGTGATTTCTAATGAAAAGCTAATGCTACTTTCCAAGCCTAAACTACATAAAAAAATTTAAAATATTTTTGAAATTACAACTATGACCATTATGCTCTTTGCTGATAACCAATAGCGTGCAGCAACAATAAGGACAAAGAATGCCTGCTTTAGTCCCTGACCTCTCACCCAATTTAGCAACAGGAAGATGGGTAAAAATGTGAAGGTTACATTTCACAATGGCAGAAAAAGCACAACTGCTATTCAAGTTTATAGGAATGCAATCACATTTTAACAGTTTTAAGTAACTTCACATCTAGAGTAGTTGACTACTAACAGTGAAGAGCAGCTGAAAAATTGCCAAGTGGTGGTACAAGCCTGAGCACTCTGACAGGGTGAGGCAGAAGGATTCAGATTTCAAGTCCAGCCCACACAACTTTGTTATTTAATTTAAAAAAAAAAAAAAAGTCTGGGCCAAGGACTTAGCTCAGTGGCAAAAGCGCCTGCTTTGCAAACATAAGGTTGTGAGTTCGATCCCCAGTACAAAAAAAAAAAAAAAAAAAAAAAGGAAAATATACCTGATTTAGAATCCAAAGACCTAGATTTAATTCTGGTTGTCACTTACTATTACTGTAACACTCTGCTGCACTCTCCTAAGAGGGATAGTTTCACTAATATTCACTAAGTATTTATTGAAAAATATCTTCTATGTGCCAACTGACATTTGGTTACGATTTACCAAACACATACAGTATTTGATGCCATCCCTGCCTTCAAAGGTGCTTATAATTTCTCTGTCTATAAAGGTTTTCATGAAATTCAAATGCAAAACACTGCAAATCACAACATCATACACACAGCAAGGGTTGTTCTGATTCTGATTACTTGTTTTATTTCCTTACCATCCACCTTTATTGCAAGAGTTTAGCAAGATCCAATTAATAAAGTATAAATGATCACGTAGAAATATGGTTTTCCACTGAGGCTAGTATTCAGGGTCCTAACAAATTGCTATTCATTTTCATAGTCTTAGCTTATGACTCTCAATACATATAACCATAATGAAAAAATTAACTAAGAAAACAGGCCTAGAAAGTGTAATGTTGCTTTGGGCAGGTGACTCAGTATATGGGGTTACCATGGTTACACCTGACAGTAAAAATCAAAGATGTCTAGGGCTCAGGCAAGGCCTCCTGAATCATAACCCTTAAAAGGCAAGTATGAGAATCTTTATTTTTAATAATAAGCACAACCAAGTGATTCTAAACATACTAAAACTTGAGAACCACTGCTATGAAAATTTCCTTTGATCAATAACCATTTCAAATACTATTACCAAAATCTACCTAGAAAATCTGAACCAAATAGAAGTCAGTTACAACTACAAAAGCAGCTCTTGAGAAGGTATTCAGTAGTCAATGTTACATGACTCACACAACTTAAAAAATACTTCTTGTGACACCAACCTCTTTTTATTCAATTATTTCCAAAATGTCACAGAAAATGACGTCTAAAAACTGACTGTTAATAAACAATTATATACATATTCCCTATTTATCTTATAGTTCAACAAGGGAAAGTTGGTGAGTGTATTAGCTGATTGCTATCAAAGAGCAAAGTGTATATTCTCTGGTCAGCATAAAATACACAGTGATTCTAAATGCTTCCAAGCCAACCTTAGGGAGCTACGCTCAAGGACCATACTACCAAATACCAAAGAGGCAAAACAAACAGCCAAAAGACAATCCAGTCCCTCAAAAATAGTCACAAATCCCATATCCTCTGCACACTAACACTGTCCAAAAGGAATCTCTCAAGGAATCAATCAAAAGCCCTTATTACTGCCAGGTGTGGTGGCACAAGCCTGTCACCCCAGCATTCTGGAAGCTGGGGCAAGAGGACTGCTGTGAGTTTGAGATCAGCCTGGGCTACACAGTGAGTTCAAGGCCAGCCTGCACTACAAAGCAAGACTTTGTCTCTACTTTAACCTTAAAAACTTAACTAGAAGCCAGTTACTTTCCATACTATATAATTAGTGCAAATACATTTATTTTAGTTTTGTGGGTTTTTTTTTTGGGGGGGGGGTGGTCATTTGTTTTGGTACTGGGAATCAAACTCAGGGCCTCCCACTTGCCAAACCAGTGCTGTGCTATATTCCCAACCCTTATTTTGATTTTGCTTGTTGAAAGCATCCTTCACCTACTAGCCTCCAGGTACATACACATCAAAGAGAAGACAGTCACCAGGAAAAACTGTAAGTTTTACATTAACAATGCCAGTCAAGAAAACTTTCTATCTGCACTAAAATTTAAAAGTCAGAGGGCTTCTCATTTGCAGTATCAAGCCTTGCAATGTGACTCTTTCTTAAGCCTCTTACAATCTAGTCATTTTTGGTGGGAAAAAAGACAAACTAAACCATACCAGTTTTTAGTTTAATGATTGTTCCAAGATTCAGTAAGGACAGAGTCTTGGTAAGCAGACTTTTACAGAAGCAAAGAAACTGATGCTCTTGTGTTCAAGCTTGTAAGCCTCTTAATCTCAAAGTTGTTCTGTTCTTTCACACCTTTATGAATCATCCAAGTGACTACAATATAGAAAAATTGTTATAAAACCATTTTTACATAGAGGAAAAGGATCTAAAATAGGAAAATGTCTTAAAGAGCAATTATCAAGGTTCAGACATTCACCTATGACTTGATACAAATGATACATCTTCACAATGATAATCCACCTGTCCTACTCTGATCCCACTTGGCATTCAGGCAGCAAGAAAGTTTTACTCCAACAACAGGAAGAACTTGAGTGAAAGACAAAAGCTCTAAGAAGGATTGCCTAAAAGACGTTGTTGAAAAATCAGCATCGATCAGATCAGATCAAAACAAGAAGAACAGAAAAAATTACTTTTTCCACTGGAGTGCAGCTGAATAGCAAAGCACTTGCCTAGCATGTGCAAAGTCCTGAATCTAATCCTCAGCGCCAAAGAAAAAGAAGGGGGGAAGGCAGAAAAAGAGGGAGGGAGGCAGGCAGGGAAGAAGGGAAAAGGGTCAGGAGAGGCAAGAGAGGGACCCCCTAACTGAGGTTTTAGAGAATTCACCAACTAGCTGAGCTTTGTCTACAAGATCACAACTTCCACTAGAGTACTACAGAAGTTTCAAAGAATTTGCAAATCAAAATACATGTATCTAGCAGGGTGAGCAACCAAGGCCAGGAAGACTTCTGACTACCACAACCTTTAAGAGAAAGAAGGGCATCTAGGCAGAGCATTCTTTTCCTAAACTAAAACTAAAATAAATAATTCTGTAGGAGACTATCACTAGCATGGCCTACCATGTGTGGTACCAATCAACATAGATCTCTCAAAGACACAAAGTTCTCCACTCGCCACTAACTAAGGAGTGCCAAAAAGTAATGTGTTTTCTACATAAGGAAAAGTCTTTCCAGCTTCTTAACCTGGAACCTGGGCCTGCAGTAAGTCCTTTGACCTATCTATCCTATGAGATCATCTGAGATCTCTTTTACAGGACCTAGTTTACATTTTGGGCTCAGCTGCAGAAATGTCACAAAGGAAAGGAGCCATCAATTAGGCTAGCTGTAGTTTCCTACAGAATTACTTAGTTTAGTTGGGTTAGAGCCTATAAAGTGTAAATTATTTGAAACTATATATTTACAATTCTAAATAATTTTAAGTCTAATAATAAACAAATAGAAGTTAACTTCTAAAAGGAAAGAAAAATGACAATGTCAAGAGCTTTTATCAGAAGAAAATATTAACGACAGATTTTGTATTATCAAGAAAGAAAGTAACTTGGTACCTGGTATAAGAAACTGTATTCTACGCATAAATATCCCGCCCCCAAAAGACTACGAATATATTGTCAGAGGATAATGGAAAACTGTATGTAGGACATGAGAAAAGTAAGCATTCCATTACAGAAAGGACAGAAGAGAGCTACAATATCTTACAACACTGTCTTAGTGAGCTACTCTTTCTTGATGTTTAAGAAAACAGAAAACAATGAGTAGATACTACAGGCTAAGACTGTGAAGGATAAAAGTATATAAAGAACACAAGATACGAGAAAGAATGGACACTGTATGATCATACTTTTAAGATACCATCCCTTTGGAAAACCTCAGATGAACCTATAGTCTTACAAGAGGAAAAAATATAGTTGTAGAAATTATAACAGAGATAAAAATATTTTTAAAATGAGAAAGAGTTCATATAGGCAAGAACAAAAAGGTGTAAAAAACCCAGAATATACACTACAGATACTTAGGCGAGAAACACAGAAGACTGCTAAGAAGAATGGAGACGATGCCAGTACACACCACCTGCAAGTCAACCCCTATATGAATTTTAATATGAAATACAAACATACTCATGTAACACCTACACTAAGGTAGTGGAAGAGGTCTACATAGAAACTGCGACAGGAGGCGACATTCTACAAGCTTTAAGGAATGCAGGGAGGCAGGAAGAATACGATGGGGAGACACTGCAGCAGCAAGAGGGTGGGCTGCAGTAGAAAAGGGAGAGCAACCTACAGGAGCAAACACCACGCTGAAGTAAGCGTGAGCTAACACAAGTATAGAGGAGAGAAAATATAGCTGGGTGTGTCCTACAAAGTGCAGAGGTCCAAGACCCAAAAGAGCGTTGCACTCTGGCGGAAGTAGGAGCCAGGAGAGTTCCACCATCAAGCTGACTCAAAAAAAGAAGTGTAAGCGTGGTACGCGAGTGGAGAAGGCTGCGGGCCAGGGTGCACTCGGAGGGCTACGGTGCTGCTAACAGTAGATTCAAAATCAGGGTCGAATACCGGGCCTAAAGAGAAGAAAAGCTAGTGCTAAGCCCTCTCTACCAAAGGTATGTTAGGGTCAGAAAGAAGGTATACTTTACAGAGTATGAATACAAGGCGAGGAGGAAAGAACAGGGGGTGTTTAACAATAAGGAAAGAAAAATGAGCGGAACAGAGCAGGACGTGTTTCCAGAGGAAAAGTGGGAGTAAACCCCAGGTTCTACTTAGTTTAGAGGGCAGAAGGGACAGTCCAAGGGACTGAGGGGAGTGGCAATGAACAGGAAACTACGATGCTAAAGACGACAACTTGGGGGAGGACGCGATACTGGTAGGATCAGAAAAGGAGGTGCCATCAATAAGAATCAAAAAACGTTCATTATAAGGCAGGCAAAGGGCAGCGCGAGCAGGAAACAGCGAGATAAAAGGGGAAGGCAAAGAGGCAAAAAACACCCAGCGGCGTGAGGGCAGGGGTAAAAGCACACAAGGACTTAAACTAGAGACTGCAAGGAGGGAGGCGGGAGTCGCGGGAACCAACGGAGGGGTCAACCATAGGGAGGTGCGGGGCAGCGCAGGCCTGAAGGGAGTCGGGGTCCCGAGGGCCGGGGACAGTGGGGGAGGAGCGGCCTGCGGGTGACAGGGGCGGAGGGCAATGCAGGCACAAGAGGAGGGACTAGGGGAGGGTGGGGCGGCGGTGGCCCCGATACTCACACCTCCAGGATGCGGTCCCCCTTGCGCACCCCGGCCCGATCGGCCGCCCCCCCGGGCAGCACGGCGCTCACATGCTGCAGCGGCGCATACAGCTCCCCGTTGATGCTCCGCAGTTGCCCGCCCTCGCTCACTTGGCCCCGCACGTTGAAGCCGTAGCCGGACTCTGACTTGACGATGCGCACGACCCGCGGGCCGCCGCCTCCGCCACCGCCGTTCCCGGCGCAGTGGAGCCCAGACCCCCCACCGCCACCGCCGCCTCCGTTCCTGTGAGGGGCTGAGGGGTGAATCCCTTCCCCGTCCTCGTCCGCCATCTTGCGAGCAAGCGAGCCCTACCCCCGCCCCGCTACGCCTCCACTCCCTCCCAGCGCGCACTCGCCCTCTTCGGCAGCCGCGCGACCCCGTGAGCGCGCGCCCGCTCGGTCGGCCGCGGGACCGAGTCGGCCACGGCGCCTGTAGCTGGGGGGAAAAGGGAGAAGGGGGGGCGGGAGCGAAAGCGGACGGTTGGGCGCCGCGGAGTCTTCTGGGGGATGTAGTTTCTGGGAGGTGAGGGCGGGGAGGGGGTTCTATGACGCGTTCGGAAGCAAGGCATGCTAGGAGCTGTGGTTCAACTATTCAGCAGTCAATGGCTGGTGTGTATCTGTCCCAGCGCCAAGCTTGGCAAAAGGTTCTCCTGTTGACACAGGACAAGTTTCCTCTTCATTTTGATTTCATATGGTCTGCAACCGATAATGATGATGTGCAGCTCAGAATTGGACTGCATTCTTAGCGTGCTTGAGGCCCTGGGCGCAATCTTTGGCAAATTGTGCACACACACACACACACACACACACACACACACACACACACAAGCACTACAGTGTTAGTGTTACTTGATGTCTGTGAGTCAACACAATCTTAAATTGGCTCAGTAACTTGTATACTCTTGTGTGGGTTGAATCTCAGTAACTCTTTCCTTCTCTTTGTTTAAAGCGGGGTCTAAATTGCTAGGTTGCCTAGGCTGGGCTTGATCCTCCTCGCTCAGCTTTTTGCAGATGTCTGCCACCACTCCTGGCTTTGAATGTTTATTTAATCCACAACCTTGGGAAACAGGCTGATCACAAACTAGTTTCCTCATTTCAAATATTAGGAAACTGAATCTTAAAGTGGCCAAAGTCAATCAGCTATTAAGTAACAGAAACGAAGGCCCAGTCATTTTTGTGCAACTTTCTTTTCATGTATTGCACCTACATACGAAATGTGGTGGATTCAAAACCGGTGGTCAGCTTAAACACCAGTTGAATTGAATCTGCATGGTGCTGAGTGTAGAGGGTCCACCTGAGGACTGTTGCCAGCATGAAAAGGAGAAGTGGAAGAGAGTAGTCTTGTGGGTTTTTAAGCAAGTGTTGTTTGGAGCTGTTGGTTCTTTTGGAGCTGTTGGTTCTCCTGGAGGAACTTGTCATGCTGGCTTCCCTGATATGAACTCAGCTGTTACTGGAAAAGCTTGAGAGTTTGTCACTGAGAATGATTGCAGTTGACTTTGGGGAGACTCTGGGCCTTTGAGCATTGCTTCCTGGCTCCAGAGGGGAAGATATATGCTGTTCAGTCTCCAGGAGAAACTTGTAACTTCCTGATGTAAACTCAGCTGTTCTCATTGTCAGAGAAGCTTGGGACCTCGTTGTTGATGAGGATGGCTGTGGTACTTTTGAGGGGCACCCTCATCCTTATTTTGAGTGTCACTTCTTGGTTCCAGTGTAGAACCCACAACATACTGGCACAAATCCTTCACCAGGCTGCATGGACTTTCTAGCTGCCACCTTTGGGCATTCCCACTGCAAATCCTTGAAAGTGACTTGCATGAGACATTGTCATGGGCTCCAGGCTTCCAGCTGGACTCGTGGAGGGCATTGTCAGGGGCCCTAGGTCTTCAACTGTACTCATGCAGGACACTGCTGTAGGATCCAGGCTCTCAGCTAAATTCTCTTACGTCTTTAGTGTGTGAACAGATTTCCTGCACTTTCTTTGTATTTTACTCCTTGAGTGACCATTATAAAGTAATACTATAAATTATATGTCCTGTATTGTCCTGTTCACCTTGTAATCCCTGACTACAACAAGAAGTATGCCCCAGCTATACCAAAAGGGTATGCTGAGAGAACACTACAGTCTCAGTGGTTAAGTAATTTCAACTGAGCAATCATTATAAAGTTATTTTTATTTGAAATTCATTTCTCTCAGTAGCACAATAGAATTCTTGGCACATGGCAGCAATGAATGTTTTTTGGTTACCTATCAAAACACAAATATTGGGCTGGGGATTTAGCTCAGCGGTGTAAGCTCTTGCCTTGCAAGCACATAGTTGTGAGTTTGATCCCTGGTACCAAAAAAAAGCACACAAACATGAGTGTTATGCAATGTGCCAGGTAAAGGTAAGTAAAAAGAGTGAGCAAAAATAATGAAAATACTGTAGCTTAATCAATTACTACTCAGGTCTGGCATTTGAGTTTATCCTACTGATCGGTAATAAATTAATCTAATACCATTTCGTGGACGCTGTAGAAGACGTAAGATTTCTGGTTCAGAGAAAAGGACTATTATTCACAATACAGAAAGCAACATGAGCATCAGCATATTTGTGTCAGTTCCTCTCTCCTACCAGGTACCATGTGAATGAAATAAAGGTCTCAGGTGAATGTTATATAGTGAATTTACTTTACAGCTAAGGATCACTGAGCGTGGGGAAGCTGACGTTTTTGTTTTTTTGTCTTTTTCCTTTTTATTGGTACCGGGGATCGAACCCACGACTGCCTGCTTGCAAGGCAGGCACTTATGCTGCTGAGCTAAATCCCCAGCCCCAAAGCTGACATTTTTTAGGAAGCAGGAAGAAAATCTGTTCTATGTCCTGAAAGGAGACATTATTTCATTTCTCAAGGTTGCTTACTACAAACACAATCCACCACCCTGAGAAAAGACCATCCTGAGCAAAGATCAGTGAAGACGTCCGTCCATCCTTGCCCCTGGAACATTATTATTAGCCAAACTATTCTAAGCACTTTACATCTATTATCCTATTAAATCCTTACAATCCTATAATGTCCCCTATTTTATAGATGAATAAAGATGTATAGAGAAGTCACACAACTGATAAACAATGAATCCAGAAGAAGCATAGGTCTGATGACTTGTAAAAGCAACAAGCAACCTCCTGAAAGAATTTATTGACTGTGTAAGTGTTTCCAGGAATTACTGGAGGGTGAGGAACATGGACCAGTAAAAAATTTAGGAGAGCCCACAAAATGTGGAATGAGGACTTAAAATCATTATAATTAGAACATAAAAATGAATATGACCTTATTTTATAACCAACCTAATGAAGAAGGATCTTAATTAGTGATGCAAATAAGTTGAAATAACAGTTTAGCTCCTGGGCCAGGCCAGGGATATAGCTCAGAAGCACAGCACCCCGCATGGCAAGCATAAGGTCCTGACTTCAATTTCAATACCAAAAAAAAAAAAAAAAAGTAGCTCTAAAGTAATAATAAAATGTGGTTTGAACCTGAATCATTAGGTTTAACTGGAATATGAAGGAAATTACCTAATCAGGTACCAGACAGAGGAAAACAGAAGGGAGCCATCATTAAAAGAGCTAGCTTTATTTATTTATTTATAATAAAAATATACCGAATGCCTGCTGTGTTCTAGGATCTGTAACAGTGGCTAGGGATGCAGAGATAAAGAATATTCAAGATTCCCAAAGGGCAATGGCACATGGTCAAACTTGGCAGCATCCTTTGTAGGAATTCCTTCTACAGTTACACTTGCACACACGTGAAATGCTGTTTTTGTGAAGTTAAGTGAAGTCATTTTTATTCAAAAAAAGATTAGAAACAACCGAATAGTCATTTGTTAAATTATGATACGTCCACAATGGAAAAGTGAATCCCTGTAATCAAAAAATAAGGAAGCTCTTTGTGTACTGATACCGAAAGACCTCATGGAGAATGTACATAGTTAAGCAAGGTGGAGCACAGACTAGAGGACATAATAGCCCTTGTGTATAATACAGAAGAGGAACCGTATGTTGTATTCTAGATCTGTTGAAGTATTTGTATCGAGTTGATGGATAGCCTCTGAGGAGGGAAACTGCTCAGTAGACTAGGGACAGGCGCCAGGCAAATTTTTCATTTTGTTCTCTTCTGTCACTGTTCTGTAACCTCTGAATTTTCAGTTGGAAGAGTGTTTTGCCTATTCAAAAAATAAATAATAAATACATAAAATATACAGGAAGGATCAAACTGGGAGAAAAAGTAGTAAGATTACCAAAATAAAATAAGACACCATTACTGTTCTCAAGGACTCACAGTCTAGCAGGAGAGACAGCAGAAGACAAAATAATTATAACCCAGGGATAGGGTGGCAGTGACAGAGGCCTGCATAGACTAGGGGGCGGCATGAAGCAGGAACCTGCAAGCACCCAGAGGATGAGGAGTTAGGGAAGCTGTTCTGTGACATGGGAGAGCTGAGCTGAATCATTATCCATGAGAGGAGTCATCGAGGCAGAGAAGGATGGGAGAGGCAGTGCGTTTCGGACAAGGAGAATGGCATACACAGAGATTTCAAAGAACACAGGGAGGTATGAGAACACCCAGTTAGGATGGGAGCAGAGGCAACAGGGCCAGAAGTGGACAGGGATGTGGGCAAGGGTCTGATCTGGGAGGTTTTCAGATATAGAATGTAGTATCCAGGAGTTTGGATTTAAGACCTCTGAATGCTTTTTGGGGGGGTACCGGGAATTGAACTCATGACCTTGCACATGCCGGGCAGGCACTTGTGCAACTGAGCTAAATCCCCAGTCTCCTCCAAATGCTTTTAAATGGAACAGCAGTATTATCATCAACTGTATGCTTCACAAGTTCACTCTGCAGAATGTATGGAGAATGAATTGAGGTAGGAAGATCAATTAGAAGCAGTAGCGGTGATTCTGGTAAGAATCAATGAGGTGCAAACTAGGGCAGTAGCTGTGGGACTGCAGAGAGGGAGACACACAGGAGAGGAGCTGGTGACCACTTAGGATCTCTGGTGCGAGGGTGGGGGACGAAGGACTGATATAAGGTTCCCCCAGAACGAGGTATGAAAAGGAAGAAGAGGTTTACAGGAAGCTTCATGAGTTTAGTTTGAGGCCTGTGGATATGAGGAGCTTGTAGGAGATGCAAGAGGAATTGTTCAGTAATGTGTTGGATGCATGAGTCCGGTGATGGGGGAAGTAGTGTGGGCCACATGAATTTGGGAACCTTTGTCTCTGGGTAGTGGCAGACGAGAGACCGAGGAGGGGCATGTAGTGGAATGAGAGGGGCACCCAGGCCAGAACCCAGAATTCCTCCCATCCCCACTTAGGAGACACCACGAGGAAGACTGGGAAGGGCTAGAGAACTAGGGGCCCAAGGAAGTCTTGAGAGGGTTTAACTTGGTTTAGTTCAATTCTTTGCTTTGGTTTTTTGGTACCAGAAATTGAACTCAGGACCTCATGCTTGCCAGGCAGACATTGTACCACTGAGCTACATCCCTGATGCTTGGTTTGGTTTTTGAAGCAAGCTTTTGCTCTGTTGCCCAGATTGGTCTCAACTTCTGGGCTTAAGTGATCCTCCTTCCTCACCGTCAAGCCGCTAGGACTACAGGTGTGCCCCACTGCACCTAGCCAGGAGCATGAGGTCATGGCACACAGTGAAGCTGTCTTCAGAAATAGGACCTGAACAGTCTGCAGAGCACTTCACACTCAAGAGCTGGTTTTTCATTGCAATTAACTGTGTAAATACAACTGTGTAAGTTCATGAGAAACTAGGCTCAGGTAACCAGTGAGCCCAAAATGACACTGCTAGTTAATAGCAAAACTGGTCTTTGAACCCAGATGTTCTGACCCAAAAGCCAGGACACTCCTCCACTATCAAGCTTCTCTCTGTGTGGTTGCAGGGTCAGCAGGTTTGCCTGGCCTTGCTGCACAGGAATCACTCAAGTGAGGGGCGCGTGTCTCCACTTACACTCACAGGGCCCTAAGTGTCCTCCTCTTTCTGCTTCTTTGCTGGTCTGACATCTACTCCTCTTTCAAGCCCTCGATGAACTCCCTCCATCAGTCTTTCCTGAGGACACCTCAACTCCTCACTCTGACATGTCTCCTTTCCATGTTTCTGAGACAAATACACCTTTAGGTGGCCCCCAGTAACTCAGGTTCTTGTGCAGCCTCCTTCCCATGAGGGTGAGTGGGAACTGGGACGTGCTTCAAGGCAATAAAATATGGCAAGTTGATGATGCGTCACCTCCATGGTTCTGACACACCACAGGACACTGCACTCCCCAAGATGACCAGATGAACAAAGCCAGAAGTCTGTGGAGACGCCATGCAGCACAAAGCAAAAGGACCCCCCTGGACAGCAGCCCCCAAGGACCGCAAGAAAACTGGGCTTCGGCCCTGCATCCTTATGAAATCCTGCTGACAACAGCATGAGCTCAGAAGATCCTGAGCTCCACAGAAAAACACTCCCGATGCGTGGCACAGTGGCACATGTCTGTTAGCCCAGCACTCCAGGGACTGAGGCAGAATAATCACAATTTGAGTTGCCTGGGCAACTTACTAAGACATTTTAAAAAAGAAAAGAAAAGAAAAAAGAAATGGAGGAAGGGAGAAGAAAAAGAAAGCCCAGCCAGCACCTTGACTCCTAAAATCAACAAAACTGTGTGATTCTGTTTGTCTGATTGTTTGTCTTTTGAGACAAGGTCTTGTTATGCAACCCAGGCTGGCCTCAAACTCAAGGTGATCCTCCTGCCTCAGCCTGCTTAGTTCTGGGATTACAGGCACGTACCAACATGCCTGGCCTGAATACATATTTTAAGCTGCTAAATATAAGTGATTTGTTACACAGCAATAACTAATGAGCCTTCTATCGCATTTGTGATCTCCACTGCTCAGTTTCAGCCACAACATCATAATATCTAGTTTAGCTTTACTTTTCCAATCTGAACATAAAGCTCCTTGAAAACAAGGGACAGGCTGCATATGACTTATCCTGCCATTCTATGCTCAGGGACTCTGCGGGTCAGAAATTCATATGGGACCCAGTGGGGACGGCTTGTCTGTGCTTCATGATGCCCTGGGGAAGACACAAAAGGTAAGGGCAACTAGATGTTGATAACAATTATTTTATTGTTTTATTATGGGAAAACCCAACGTATTATATGATTTCTCAGCTATTGGCTTGAGTTTGATTTTGAGAGAAAAAGAGGGAAAAAGGAACCCTGGGGAAAATAGAGACACAGCTAACAGATGTTTGGGGTCTGGCAGCATCTGGAAACATGAGTGGTGCCAAAGCTACCTGTTGCCCTGAGCCCACACACAGTCGCTTCATGTGGCCTCTCAGCTTCTTCTAGCTCATGGAGAGGACCCAAGGAAATTTCCAGAGAGAATAAAGCAGCTGTATGACTTCAGCTACACAATCAGATAGCATTGCTTCACTATAGTGTTTGGTCACAAGGTTCAGCCCTGCCCTGAGGGGCGAGGACATAAACACTGTTACTTGATGACGGAGTGTCCGTGCTGCATGATAATTAGAGCACGTGGGATGAGATATGAGGTGGTTGCCAAGGTTGGAAAATATAATTGGCCACACTGGGATAGTTCATATGCGACAGGACCTAGGGGCTTAGGGTCTGGCCCGGAGAGCTCAGGGCTCCTTCTCTGTTTTGCTTCTGCCTCTCATTGTTACTTATCTCTGCTTCTATTTGTCTCTCAGCAAAAATTCCCTTATTTTTCTCAGCCTCTGGATACTTTCCTGGAGGACTCTGGTTTTTCTTGAGTTATGTGCCCACTCCTCATATTGATTAAAGTTGTCTGAACGAATACAATGATCCAAACCTGGATCATCAGGGCACGTGGCTAGAAGACCTGCTGGGTAGACAGGGCAGGCTGCCACATCTGTCACTTCAGTAAGCATTTGCACAGCTCAGAGTGTCACTGAATCATCCAGCTCTCTGTCGGCGTCCTACAGTTACAGTGCTTCAAAGTGCTTTACCTGGTAGTCTTCATACCATGCACCTGCCTTTCATTTGCCACACATGGCTGAGATTTTCTGGGTTCCTCATCCAAGAGATGAGTTCTGGCCCTTCTCACAGCCACCCTGTCTTGCTTCATTATGTGATTCTTCTCACCACCTCTGAGTGTCTTCTTTCAAGGGGTCACTTGCAAACATCATGGCGCACTATCATTCCAGGGTAACTCCCTTGGCAGCTGTCACTGTTAGCTGTGTCTCTATTTTCCCCAGGGTTCCTTTTTCCCTCTTTTTCTCTCAAAATCAAACTCAAGCCAATAGCTGAGAAATCATATAATACGTTAGGTTTTCCCATAATAAAACAAAACAAAACAAACAGAAAAACAAAAAACAGTAGGGCTTCGGAATTGTTATCGTCATCCGATGGGAAACAATGTGAGACTTGAGCCATCTGCATTATTCCTATTTAAACATTTCCTTGAAAGCTTTTGACTACAGGTACAGAAAACTGAAAATTCAAAAGTGGTTTAAACAATAAGGAAATGTGTAATCTCAAGCAGCAATCCTAAAGGTGAGGAGGTCCCAGACAGTTAATCACTCAGAGCATCTCACTCACAAAAAGGATCCACGTCCCTTTCATCTCTCCCTTGTGCCATCTTCTGTGTATCATCTGGGTCACTTTGCTAACTCCTCTCATGGTAACAAGATGGCTGCTGAGTTCCAGACATCACCAACATACACAGCCTCAATACTGAGAAACAAAAGATAGAAAGCTTCTTGGGCCTACTTGTAAATAAACCCTTCACAGTAGCCTTGAACTGGCTCTTTTCACATCTCATGAGCCAGAAGTATATCACCTGCTAATCTGTTAAACCAGTTACTGGCAAAAGAACCAAAGTACAATGATTGACTTGAACTAATCTAGGCTTACTTGTGAGGTTGAGACTAGAGTTGTTCTTGTGTGCATCACTGGCTAGTGAATACCAGAACGAGATTGGGACTCTTCAAAAACAATGAAATGTGGACACAAAAAGTGGTAGGACAGGGTGGATTGCACAAGAAACTAAACGTACTCAGTGTATTTCTCTTCACCCTGGTTTTTCCAGATCTAGAGATGATGAGGTCCACCTCATCTACATGTAGGTGACATAAGATTTTAGAGGATTGGGCCGAGGATTTAGCTCAGTGACTCAAGCACTTGCCTGGTAAGCACAAGGTCATGAGTTCAATCCCCAGTACCAAAAAAAAAAAAAAAAAAAAAAAGATTTCACAGGATACTCTTACCAAACTAGTTTCATTAAAACACTGAGGCACATTCTACCGTATGGATGAAACCTGAAGATACAATGCTAAATGAAATAAGCATGTCATAGAAAGACAAATATTCCATGTGTCTCACAAAGTAGCTGTTATGTTTTTTTTGTTTGTTTGTTCTTAGTTTTGGTACCAAGGATTGAACTCATGACCTTGCACTTGCCAAGCAGGTGCTTACACCACTGAGCTAAACCCCCGGCCCTGCTGTTACGGTTTGTATCTAGATGTCCTCAAGGGCCTCCCAGGCTATCGGCAAGGTGATTAAACCATGGGGCACCAGAGCAAACTGCTGTTGGGATGCAGGGTCTGGCCAGAAGTCAGGGTCACCAAGGGCTTGGCAGGAAAGGTGCATCCCCCCTTCCTCCTCTCTCTGCTTCCTGGCCCCCGTGATGTGAGCAGCTTCCCTTCACTGGACTTTTCCACCAGGTCTGCCTGCCTTGAGCCCACCCACTGCAGACTAGAAACATGGGCTGAAATAAACCTCAAAGAGGAAAAGTTCCAGAGCTGGATGGGGGGAGTGGTAGTTAGACAGCAATGTAAATGTATTGGTGCCACTGAACTGTATGCTTTAAAATTGTTAAGATGAAAAATGTTATTTTATGTATAGTTTACCACAGTAAAAAATGTTAAAGCAGCCAGACATAGTGGGAGGCTGAAGCAGGAGCACTGCCATGAGTTTGAGGTCAGCATGGGCTACAAAGCGAGACCCTATCTCAACCTCCCCACCAAAACAGTTAAAGCAACAAGACTGTTTAAGATGTAGAGCAACGAAATTGTGTTCATCTTGAAACAGTGTAAGGGCATGGCTTTCTCTAATTACCATAATGTTGAACTTCTGCCTGTTTCTTTTGGATGATAACCATTTCCCATCCTTGGCTATCACCTCCATCCTCTCCTCCCTTCTTTCCTCAGATTTACTGTTTGATTGGGTTTTTGTTTGTTTTGAGACAGGGTCTCACTATGTTTTCCAGGCTGATCTTGAACTTCTGAGTGCAAGTGAACCTCCTGACTCAGCCTCCCAAGAGCTGGCATTCCACGTGCACATTACCATATCTATCCATAGTTGTTTTGAATCAAGTATAGTTCAAGAAATCCTAATGCCAGGCATGCAATCACACACATAATTTCAGCAACCCTGGAGGCTGAGGCAAGAGGATCAGAAGTTCTAGGGCAGCCTGTACAATTTAGCAAGATCTCTCTCAAAGTATTAGGGCTGGAAAGCCAGGTGTGATGGTGCTCACCTGTAATCCCAGCACTGAGGAGGCTGAGGTGGGAGGATCACTGTGAGTTGGAAACCAGCCTGGGCTACAAAGTGAGCTCAAGCCCAGCCTAAACTGCATAGTGAGACTCTGTCTGAAAAAGACAAAAAAAAAAAAAAAAAAGAAAAATGAAAAAGACTAGGAATATAGCTCAGTGATAGAACATCCTTGGGTTCAGTCCCCAATACTAGGTGGGGGTGCACACCTGTAATGCCAGTCCTCTGAGGGGGCTGAGGGAGGAGAATCAAAAGTTTGAGCCCAGAATTGGCGACATGGAGATTTAGTGAGACCTTCTCTATTAAAATAAAGTAAAGTAAAATAAAATGAGCTGGGCATGTAGCTTAGTGAAAAAGTCCTAAGTTAAACTTCTAGTACCAGGGCTGGGGGTTTAGCTCAGCGGCATAAGCCCCTGCCTTGCAAGCAGGCAGTCGTGAGTTCGATCCCTGGTATCGATAAAAAGAAGAAAAAAGACAAAAAGACAAAAAAAGGCCCCTACACAGAATGGAGCGTCCTGCTCTCCTCTTACTTTTGCCCTTGAAGGCCACCTGTGCCTTTCTTACTTTGTCTTCTCATCCTAGTTCAACACAGCTGGCTCCCCTGATCCCCACACCCAGAGCGCTGGGAGAGGATGCAATGGGGAAGGCTCAAGAACAGAGAGAAGTGGGCACTCTGAGCACTCTGAGGTGTTAGCAGCCTTCACAAGGTGTGCATCTAATAAATCTAACAGTTTACACTGTGCAAATAGTTAGGACCCTAGGATGTTTGCAAACCAGGCAAAGTGTGCGGTGTCTGTGGGGCAGCAGGTAGAGCCAGGTCATTCCACCTGAAGCTACCAAAGTCCAACGGCCTGTCAATGCTCAGAGCTAAGCAGGAGCTTCTCCAATTTCCTTACATAGACTTGGAGTCAGAGGTCAGCTATTTGTATTTAACCTACTCACTCCAGACAGTCTTTCTGAAAAAGTAGTGAAGATCTTCAACAGGAAGCATCCACCATTCTCTTAAACTCCTGCCCCACAGTTTGATCAAACCGTCAGAACGTTTCTCCTTCCAGGTAA